TCCACTCGGATATTCCGAATAGATTAAGTCAAACTTTATTGAATTTAGATATATTTCCTTAAGGTAGTTGTCGCGCGACAGTCATCTTCACAAATTTACTCCAAACAAAGAACAGAAACATTCAATATCTATGATAATACTGTAATGAAATATCCTTTGAAAAATCCATTTAAGATTACTAAATCATGTGAATAAATTATAAAGATTTAAATTAATTCTAGTTTCCTTTTATTATTCGTTAAAATAAGTTCGAAATGGATATACTTTTGAAAGCGTACAGTTTACTTTCCTCAAACACATTGAAAATCCGTTTCATCTACACGGATACACACAAAATCACGATCATGGCAACTTCACGTCATTCATCGCAATTGGCTTGTGCGACGAAATTTTGACGAATTCTTCATTTCAACTATTGATATCTTGGAAACGAAATGGTCAACAATTTTGAAGTTTTTTTTCGCCTTCTCTTTATATCAATTTATCACATATTTTTTTTATCAATGCTCCACGACTCGTTTAGATGAAAAAAAAACTGCGTGCTCTTAGACCACACGGCTGAAGTGAAACTTTTGTTCTACTATTCCGTTCGCCTCAGATTGTTTCAACTTCCGTAACGCCAAGCTTTGGTTTATCCCGTCCGTAAAGAAGTTTCACTTCAAAAATGAAATGTGTTTACAATATACCTATTACATACGGAATCTCCATGTAAAAAAGCTGCAAGTTGAAACTTGCAATTTGCTTCCTCCGAATCGTAAGTAGTGTACGAAGTCCTTATATGAGGAAGCATTTTCATTTTTTTAATCTTTGGCTTCCTCATAGATGAATTTTCATCTACTACCCACGATTCAGAGGAAGGAAATTGCAAGTTTCAACTTGCAGCTTGTTTAACGTGAGTCCCCATGTCTCTCACAACTTGGGGTGCTTCATACTATAGAGAACGCATGTAAGGATAAATCTCTTGCATGATCTCTTCGGGCCTAATATTTTTGAATTGGCTGAAATTCAAAAACTTGAAGATATGTATAATCAGATCCGTTTTACCAAACTCCGCCAGATTTGAGACATATCACGGCTAAATGATACTCTCTACTTTTCGAAAATTAGAGCTTAATCGGTCAAAGTTGACGGGAGTTATATTGATAAATTTTTATTTTTCGAAAAATTCAAAATATCATAAAATCAAAACTTCTCGATCGATTCGGTCCAAATGCAATACCAACCAATCTTGGATACATATCTCTTTGTCAAGAACTATTTAGACGATTATCACAAAATTTGCGATCGCTAGAGTGCGAACGTCCTTTTTTTGGAAATTTGAAAATGACGTCAATTTTGAGCCACAGCTTGAATCATGACGAAAATTATAGTCAATGAAGGGATTATAGAGCTGCATATACCTGCAAAATTGGGGGGCTGTAGCTCAAACCGTTCTCGAGTTATACACGTTTGAATTTTGGGAGGCCATTACACATACACACACACACACACACACATACATCCGGACATTTTCTCCAAACGTGTTTTCTCGATGTTTGGGCACATTCTGAACATGGTGACATGAAAATCTCGACAGGAAAATTTTCCACCGTCACATAGCTTCCTTTATGAGGAAGCAAAACTGTAAAATTTGACATTTCTTTCCCCTACTTCTGAACGGTCAATCTTAATAAAATTAAGCTCATTTTAAAGGTATTATTTCAAACAATTAGACATAAGATTTTTGAAAACAATCTGACGAAAATAGTTTTATACGACAACTACCTTAAACGTTACCATATATCCCGTTCAAGTATAACATAGCTGTCTAAGCGTTTCAGCTTCGTCATTGTCGTTTCCGCATCGCCGTTTTCTTCAGTTGGCGCTGATGCTTTTTTTTTACTTTTTCCTACAAGTTGGCATACAGTTTCAATGGCCTTGTTATTCACATTCACTTCCATGTGGACCAAATTCTTAGTAAAATTTGTAATTATTTTTTAAAGATTTAATTCTGTTTCTCATTATAAAAAGATCTTCACTATCTCCTCAACAATAATATAGCTTTTATTTAAAATCAAGAGATTTTCGAGTTCGATTGAAAGAATTTTTCGCCGTAGTTTCTGATGTTCAAGAGTTCTTCACTATGTTTCTCAACATCTGTGTTCTCCTCCCCACTGTTATCACCAATTTAATATATATTGTATATATATAACTGCTACTCACAGTAATTTAAGATAACTAAATGTTGTTCGCCACAGCTCATACACACAGACGATCGATATTGTACATTGAACTTTTTTTCGTATTTGTATTGCTACTGAAAAGAAAGCACAAGTTACTTCTGTCGTTCGTAATTATTTTTTCAATGGACCGAGCTAAAATTAACAAACTGCAATGAAACTGCTAGCAACCAAAATCGCGGCGCAAATAATAATTTCATGAAATATGGAAGGTATGTGACATAAAATAAATAAATAAATCTTTCATTATCGTTCCACATACGAAAGTGCTAAAATTCTTGATGCGGGTCAAGCACTTATCTTTATTATAACGACTATTTTATTAAATTAATTACGAAACTTTTATTAATGTTTAAGAATAGGTCATTAGTATATTTATTAAGAGTATCATTATCATAGTTACAATAAAGCATGTGAAATAATAATAATAACTAGATGTAACAAGAATAAAAATCAATATCAAATAAAATTTAATTATTTAATCAAATGCGATTTGATAGAGTTTTGTCTTTCAGTTATTAGATCAGTGCGTCGTTAAATCATACTTGACTAAGTGATTAAATTTTTGTACTAATTTTTGTTGCTCTTACATTTCATGCTTGTTATGATTTAAAATTCTTATACACATAAACTATTATTAAATATTAAAAAGATTTTCATAATTTAATTTAACTTAAAAATTTTTATTTCATAAACTAATTATTATTTTCAAGATAATTACTTAGCCTCCTTATATTCTTTTAATACGTACTTTTATATGCAGAACAATAAAGAAGGAGTATGTGTACTTGTTAATTATCCTAAATTAGCCTCCGTACGTGACGAAGTTTTAGTTTATACCGAAAATGATTTGCTCAGATTGAATTTTTCTTAGACCGTTTTTCATATTAGTTCAACAATGTATAATTAAATTCTATTTTAGTGAATTACTTATTAGACTCTGCAATTCAAACTAGAGGATAATAAAAAACTTTCATTAACATTATGATTAGACGATAAATATTAAATATTCTAGTCATATTAAAAGTATCTTACACTACAGACTTTATTATAACACTGCAAGACATAATACTTATCTATATCTTATCTATCTTATCTAAAATTAAAAATCTAGAAATAATAGTTGTTGAAAATGAATATAAAATGTTTCAGGAGAAATATAGAAAATGGGTGCAACGAATGGACCTTCGATATATTCGATGCATATAAGCAGTGGATGAAATGAAAACTCGAACTAGTCAAACAACATTCGGTTCCTAAACTGTAAGAAATGACAAATTGTCATTTACCAAAGTACAATAATTTATTATAATTACTATCAACATGATGAAAATGATGCGTTTTTAAAGAATGCAAGTCATTTTATGAAAAAAGGGTAAACAGTATTACAGCCAACAACAGTGTATAAATTTATGAACCTGTATAATTCTACACATAAGAAAATCTTAAGATATAGTAACATATTTTTGAGTAAATACTATTAAATTTTGAGGGATGGTCTTTATACACTTGAAGTGATAACATCATATATACAGTAATGCGCAATTGAAGTGGAACACTTGAATTTTTGTGTA